ATAGGGTTCACACATTGCTTATCTCTTAAGCCTCTTTTAATCTATTGGCTCTCCCTTTGTGTTTTATTTTCTTGCAATTTTCTTTTTGTTGTGTTTATTGTTATTGATAAAAATGGAGGAATTTGATATGTACAAATTACCATATTCTGGATTTTGCTGTTTTTTTTTCCTGTCGTCTTTAATATGTATTTCTGTCACCTATATTTTCTATAAATTGATGATGATATAAGATTCCAGTTTTGTTTTACTTTGTCAGGATACTTTAGAGGTGAGTTGTATGCTTCCTCTTGCATCACATCAGGAGGCAGTATCTGGTTGTCTCCCTTTTAGTGAGGTTAAGGTTGGTCAGTGGGTGCAGGCGTTGTCAGCCTGGTCCATCCATTTTAAAGTTACCAGTGGTTTTTCTCCTAATGGTTTTATCAACCCATTTGTAATCATCATCCATTATTTTAATGGGGGTTGCAAATATAGTGTTCTATCATCTTTTTCCTTCTTTTATTAGCTAGAATTCTTCTTTAAAAGCCCTGCACTCACTATTAGGTTGTCATCAAGTATATTTTATATAGGAAAGCTAGGACTACAACTTGAATATTTTATCAGCTTTTAGAATAATGAATTGGTTCTCTAATATAAACATACAATAAATATATAACTATATAATAAATATATAACTATATAATAAATCCATAAATTCATGGATTTAACATGTTTGATGTCTTTCAATTACTGCAGTTTTCTTTTTTTTGAGACAGAATCTCACTCTGTCGCTCAGGCTGGAGGCTGGAGTGCAATGGTATTATCTTGGCTCACTGCAATCTCCATATAGTGTGTTCAAGCAATTCTCCTGCCTCAGCCTCCCAAGTAGCTGGGATTACAGGCGTACACCACCATACCTGGCTAATTTTTGTATTTTTGGTAGAGATGAGGTTTCTCTATGTTGGCCAGGCTAGTCTTGAACATTTAGCCTCAAGTGATCCACCCACCTTGGCCTCCCAAAGTGTCGGGACTACAGGCGTGAGCCACTGTGCCTGGCCTCCAGTTTTTTAAATATTAAAATTGTCTCATCTTTTGCTACAAAGGCCTCCCTTAAGTTGGATCTGGATTCATTTTGTTAGGACTAGGCTGCAGCAGTCTTTGATAGCATTATTATTTTTTGGTGCAACACTATGTACCAGGCTCATTCTGTATGTTTTATACTCCAGATCTGAAATCACCCATTCATTTCTCCATTAAACCTTGGTTCCTTGTAATGGGAAATGATGTTTAGTGACCAAAGTCTAGACGATGTGGGTGTCTGTTGAAATTGGGTTGGTCATTTTTAATTCTTTTCAAGTGGATGGATTTAAGAAATATATTTAAAAAGAATGAGAAAGTATGCCATGGTTCATATTGATGTTTCTAATTCAAATCTACAATGATATAATTGCTAATAACTTCTTATATTTTTATCTCTTTCCTTTTATACACTTTTGTTTTTTTTTTTTTTTTTGGTGAGACGAGGTCTTGTCCTGGCTGGAGCACAGTGGTGGCCTCTACCTCCTGGGATCAAGTGACCCTCTCACCTCACCTTCCTGAGTAGCTGTGACTACAAGTGTGTGCCACCATGCCCAGCTAGTTTTTTTATACTTTGTATAGATGAGGTCTCAGTATGTTGCCCAGGCTGGTCTTGAACTTCTGGGGTCAAGTGATCCTCCTGCCTTGGATTCCCAAAGTGTTGGGATTATAGATGTGAGCCACCACACTGGGCCTACACTTTTTAATGTATATAGATGAAATTGTTATGATTAGAATTTACATGAAAATAATTCAGTATGTGTGGGTGGGAGGGGAGAGGATATGGATGGGGAGGTGAATGGTAGATGAAACAAGATTGGTCATGAATTGATAATTGTTAATTCTGGGTGACTAGTAGATACATGAAGGTTCATTATATTATTTTGTCTCCTTTTGAGTATGTTTCATATCTTCAATTTAGAAACTCATTTGCATTTTTATTGAGATCTTATAAATTTATAGAGAAATGAGCTGCTTTTATTCATTCCACATTACTATATATATTCTTCTTCCTTTTTTAAACAAACTATGGTAGCTTGTGACATATTGTATTAAAAAATTTTTAATTTTCAGTTTGAGGATATATGTGAAGGTTTGTTACCTAGATAAACATGTGTCATGGGGTTTTTTTCTACATAATATTATGTCACCCGGGTATTAAGCTCAGTACCCAATAGTTATCTTTTCTGCTATTCTCCCTCCTTCCACCCTCCCCCTCCAGTAGACACCAGTGTTTGATGTTTCTTCTTTGTGTTCCTAAGTTCTTGATTCTTCATTGTTTGATTGACAGTCAGTAAGATGTCTGTCCCATTATTTATGTAACTATTCATTTATTGATGTACTTATGTACCCCCTTATCTGAGGAGATACTTTTTAAGGCTCCAAGTGGATGCCTAAAACCACAGATCATACTGAACCCTGGACATCTGGTAACTGATTGGGCCACTAAGTGATTGATGGGCAGATAACAACATGTGGATATGCTGGACTAAAGGGATGATTCGCGTCCTGGGCCTGATGGAGCAGGATAGTGTGAGATTTCATCACACTACTCAGAATGGCCTGTAATGTAAAACTTATTAACTGTTTATTTCTGGCATTTTCCATTTAATATTTTCAGACCATGGTTGACTGTGGGTAACTGGAACCAGTAAAGTAAAACCATGGATAAAGTAGAACCATGTATAACCATAGATTGTTTATAATTTTTCTGTGTAACAAATAATAATTCATTGGTAGTATTTACTTTAAAGTATAATTTAGTGGGTACTTGCATGTTTTTACCATGTTAATAACACTTCACCCCATATTCTTATCAGTCTCGTATTTACCTTCTCTGATTTTATGAGTTGATATGTTAGGCTTATATTTTAAAATATTTAAATCTTTTAAAGTATTACTAATGTCATAAATCAAATTTGATTTCCTTTTGAAAGTTGTTGTGGTGAAAGCTGTTTACAAATAAAGTTTCAATACTATCTTAGGTATATTTTCAGCAATCAAAATTTGGATTTTTGAAGAAAAAAACTATTGGAATACTAATAAAAGTTATTAGGTACTCTCATATGGTTATACAATTCACTGTTGTAGATGGCCACTTATTTTACATTTGCTAGGAGTGTAGGGAACAACAAATTTTCTCACCATTAAAAATAATAAGTAAGATAAATCCCAACTAATTTATATTATGAGAAAGCTGCATTTAAAAAAGAAGATATGAAATATGAAAGGATCCTGACTTTACTGCAACTTTTAAACTGTTAGGTTACTTGAGGAGTACTTTGTATTTTATTTTGAATGATATTAATCTAAAAATTTGTTACTTTTCAAAAGTGAATCAGTTATCTTTAGATGAAGTGATGGTATTAGAGGCATGGTACCCCTAAACATATATTATAAAATTTGGGGAATAGAGAGATTGGGATATTTCCAATATCCCTTGTGATTGGAGAGCCAGTCTTTTCTTTGGGAGGTAGTACTGCAAGGCCATGGTCCTGCTCTTTTCTGCTCTCCTTTTCAGGCTACTGGTTTGTTGCCTAAGCAACAAGGAACTTTGGTGGAGCAGCATCACGAAAAAGCCTTTAGAAAAGCTCTGTGAAAGAGGACTGTAAAAGAACACTTTAAAGTCAGACAGAGTTAGATTTGAAAAACAGCTTTACATTAACAGGTTAACATTATTTAACCTCTTTGAGTCTCAGTTTTCTTATCTGTAAAACAGGCACAGGAACAACTTCTATTTAGGGTACTGTGAGGCATCAATGCAATCATGAATGGCAGAGGCTGGATGTATTCATTGGTTTTTTATACTTCTACAAGTAAATTAAATTTTTGTCGTATGTTTGGTCATAATAACAATAGTTAGCATTTGTTGAGTACCTATTTTGTACCAGAGTATTCTAAAAACTTTATATGGGCCCAGGCACCGTGGCTAACACCTGCAATTTCAGCTTGTCAGGAGGCCGAGATGGGAGAATCACTTGAGGCAAGGAGTTTGAGACCAGCCTGGTCAACATAGTGAGACTTCATCTCTATTTAAAAAAATTAAAAAGACGTAAAAAAACTTTACATAGATCTTGTTTAATCCTCACAGAGCTCTGTGAGGTAGATTTTATTAGCTTGTTTTTATGAGGAAACTGATTCAGGAAAGTTAAGTAGCTTGTATGAGAATATATATTAGGCAGTAATGAGGAATTACTGCCGTGGTGTGTGTGTGTGTGTGTGTGTGTGTGTGTGTGTGTGTGTGTGTGTGTGTGTGCGCGCACGCGCGGGCGCGCGCGCGCGCACATTATATATATTTGATCACATATTTTAAATAAATAAATACAAATTTAGTGCATATTAATTACATATTTGATTACTTACATTTTAAATAATCAAGACTTTTGTTGTGACATCAGCGATAAAGGGAAACATGATGAATCAGAAACATGATATGCTAAAAAACTGGTTATTCTAAAACTTGTCTGAAACATTCATATGATTAAGACATCTGTTGAGTGAGAGGATCACAATTTGAGTAAAATTATTGCTGTTGACTGGGCGTGGTAGTTCATACCTGTAATCCCAGTAGTTTGAGAGGCCAAGGTGGGTGGATCACCTGAAGTCGGGAGTTTGAGACCAGCCTGACCAACGTGGTGAAACCCCGTCTCTACTAAAAATACAAAAAGTTGCTGGGCATGGGGGTGCACACCTGTAATCCCAGCTACTCAGGAGGCTGAGGCAGGAGTATCACTTGAACCTAGGAGACAGAGGTTGCAGTGAGCTGAGATTGCGCCATTGCATTTCAGCCAAGGCAATAGGAGCAAAACTCCATCTCAAAAAAAGAAAAAAAAAATTATTGCTGTTTTACTGAAAACCTTTTTCAATGGCAAGTGAGCGATTTCCCAGTCTTCTCTTACAACATATTTTTAGTACTGTATTTGAAAGTGTTTGTTTGATTTCCACAGGGTCGTAATCTGGCAGATCTTCGCCGTAGTCAGTCCCGAGGCACATTCACCATCAGTACTACTCTCCGGCTGGGTAGACAGATTTTGGAGTCTATAGAAAGCATTCATTCTGTGGGTTTCTTGCACCGAGACATCAAACCGGTAGGGGCCTTTTCTATCCAGAGCACATAATGAGTTTGATGCTCTTAATATTATGATGGGACACAATAAATTACAAATGTAGCTTTGTGTATTTGCTGTGGTTAGACACAAGGTAATATTTTCATTTCTATAGTAACACCTGGAAGCAAAAATACAACTTACCTCTTAATTTTTTAAGTGATAATTACAAACTACAGCTTGTTTTCAGGAATTTTTCTCATACAATGAAAATAAAAAATGAGACTGGGGTGGTAACACATGCCCATAACCCCAGCTACTCAGGCAGCTGAAGCAGGATGATTTCTCGAGTGCAGGAGATGGAGGCTAGAGTGAGTTACGATCCCTCCTGTGTATAGCCACTGCACTCCAGCCTGGGCAGCATAGTGAGACCCTGTCTCTTAAAAAAGCTTTATGTTTGACTATTATTATGTGTGCTAACTTGCCAGTTACTTAGCCTTATGCCTAAATTGGCATTATTCCCTGGTTTCTTTTATATATATATATATATATGTTAAAAAATTATATATGTTGCTTTCAGTTGTTCATACTGTGTTCTTGAAGTCAAAAGTTCTATTTATAAGAAATCATCTGCTGTGAAAGACCTTATTTTTCTCCTGAGTGCTACTATGGAAATATAGTTGGGTTTTTATTTGCTAATCTGTTTTTCTTAGAAATAGTCATTTCCATAACTGTGAAATAGGCTTTTCTGTCCTTTTCAGTGTTTAATCAAACACTGAAACATTCATTAGATGAAATGACCCATTTCTGATATACTGTATTTACTATAAATTTATCATATGTTGGTACAGTTGAAAAGTATAACCATCTGTTGTTACATGACTTCTAAAATTAGTTTACATGAAAATGCTAACTAAATTTGATATTGCAGTCAGTCTATTTCTATGCATTGTTATTTGAGAACCATGGTGATTGGAAGAGTTTCTGTTTTTTATCAGAAAGCTTTCTAAGTAGAATAATTTTTTTTAAAAAATGACAATTTTGGTGACAATTTTGCTTTTACCTCGACAAGTCCTCTTACATACTTATGTTTGCATTTGTGGTCATTTAATATTACATTGATTTTCATTAGGGAAAGAATACAAAGTTTATTTTTCTTGTCTGTTTTGAAATGTTTCTATAAATTGTATTTTAATTTTGGACTTAGTGAAATTCAGCTTTTTGATGCTTATAGGAAATTCTTTAAAATTTCTGTTTTTTAAGTAGGATTTGGGTTGTCATTTAGGCATTAACTTAGACTAGAATTTCAAGAACTTAGAGTTCCAAGTCTAGTTAATGTTGTTGTGTGTGTAACCTTCGTCACTTACATTCTTTTTTGTTCAAAGTTTACCTGATATTAGACATTAATAGAACCCAAAACGAAATCATATTTTAATACCTACTAAATGTCATTGACTATAATAATAGTATATTTGGAACGTGTGTTATATAGAGCTTAACTAGAAGAAGACTTAAAATGTAGGAATAGTAAAATGTAAAGACTAAGTATCATAAGAATGTGTATATTTTCCTTCTTTATTTTTCTAGTCGAACTTCGCTATGGGTCGCTTTCCTAGTACATGTAGGAAATGTTACATGCTTGATTTTGGCTTGGCTCGACAATTTACCAATTCCTGTGGTGACGTCAGACCAGTAAGAATTTTCGTATTATTATCAAATATTTGATAATTACCCTGGTATTTATAGTATCACACTTTTAAAATAATGCTAATTATGTATCCTAATGGATATTATCTAAGAAGTGCCATATACATTTAATGATTAACTTACAGAATGACAATAAATTTTATTATTGAAATTTGTGGCTTTAAAAGATGTACATTAGAGGGAGATTTAGAGTGGTCTTTTTTTTTCTTTCTTTTTCTTTTCCCCATTTATTTATTTTACTTCATTTTAGGATTTGGGGTACATGTGAAGAACATGCAAGATTGTTGCATAGGTACACACGTGGCAGTGTGATTTGCTGCCTTCCTCCCCATCACCTACATCTGGCATCTCTCCCCTTGCTATCTCTCCCTAGCTCCCTACCCCCCACAATCCCTCCCCTATTTCCCCCCAACTGACCCCAGTGTGTAGTGCTCCCCTCCCTGTGTCCATGTGTTCTCATTGTTCAACACCCGCCTGTGAGTGAGAACATGCGGTGTTTGATCTTCTGTTCTTGTGTCAGTTTGCTGAGAATGATGGTTTCCAGGTTCATCCATGTCCCTACAAAGGACACAAACTCATCGTTTTTGATGGCTGCATAATATTCCATGGCGTATATGTGCCACATTTTCCCTGTCCAGTCTATCATCGATGGGCATTTGGGTTGGTTCCAGGTCTTTACTATTGTAAACAGTGCTTCAATGAACATTCGTGTGCACGTGTCCTTATAGTAGAATGATTTGTAATCCTCTGGATATATACTCAGTAATGGGATTGCTGGGTCAAATGGAATTTCTATTTCTAGGTCTTTGAGAAATCACCACACTGTCTTCCACAATGGTTGAACTAATTTACACTCCCACCAACAGTGCAAAAGTGTTCCTATTTCTCCACATCCTCTCCAGCATCTGTTGTCTCCAGATTTTTTAATGATCGCCATTCTAACTGGCGTGAGATGGTATCTCAATGTAGTTTTGATTTGCATTTCTCTGATGACCAGTGATGATGAGCATTTTTTCATATGTTTGTTGGCCTCACGTATGTCTTCTTTTGTAAAGTGTCTGTTCATATCCTTTGCCCACTTTCGAATGGGCTTGTTAGTTTTTTTCTTGTAAATCTGTTTTAGTTCTTTGTAAATTCTGGATATCAGCCCTTTGTCAGATGGGTAAACTGCAAAAATTTTTTCCCATTCTGTTGGTTGCCGATTTCACTCTACTGACTGTTTCTTTTGCTGTGCAGAAGCTGTGGAGTTTGATTAGGTCCCATTTGTCTATTTTGGCTTTTGTTGTCAATGCTTTTGGTGTTTGGTCATGAAGTCCTTGCCTATGCCTATGTCCTGAATGGTTTTGCCTAGATTTTCTTCTAGGGTTTTTATGGTGTTAGGTCTTATGTTTAAGTCTTTAATCCATCTGGAGTTAATTTTAGTGTAAGGTGTCAGGAAGGTGTCCAGTTTCTGCTTTTTGCACATGGCTAGCCAGTTTTCCCAACACCATTTATTGAACAGGAAATCCTTCCCCCATTGCTTGTTTTTGTCTGGTTTCTCAAAGATCAGATGGGTGTAGATATGTTGTGTTGCCTCCGAGACCTCTGTTCTGTTCCATTGGTCTATATCTCTGTTTTAGTACCAGTACCATGCTGTTTTGATTACTGTAGCCTTGTAGTATAGTTTGAACTCCGGTAGTGTGATGCCTCCCGCTTTGTTCTTTTTGCTTAGAATTGACTTGGCTATGCGAGCTCTCTTTTGGTTCCATATGAAGTTTAAGGTGGTTTTTTCCAGTTCTGTGAAGAAGGTCATTGGTAGCTTGATGGGGATAGCGTTGAATCTGTAAATAACTTTGGGCAGTATGGCCATTTTCACGATATTGATTCTTCCTAACCATGAACGTGGAATGTTTCTCCATCTGTTTGTGTCCTTTCTTATTTCGTTGAGCAGTGTCTTGTAGTTCTCCTTGAAGAGGTCCGTTACGTTCCTTGTTAGTTGTATTCCTAGGTATTTTATTCTCTTTGTGGTAGTTGTGAATGGCAGTTCGTTCTTGATTTGGCTCTCTTTAAGTCTGTTATTGGTGTACAGGAATGCATGTGATTTTTGCACATTGATTTTGTATCCTGAGACTTTGCTGAAGTTGCTTATCAGTTTTAGGAGATTTTGGGCTGAGACGATGGGGTCTTCTAGATATACAATCATGTCATTTGCAAATAGAGACAATTTGACTTCCTCCTTTCCTATTTGAATGCCCTTTATTTCTTTTTCTTGCCTGATTGCTCTGGCTAGAACTTCTAGTACTGTATTGAATAGGAGTGGTGAGAGAGGACATCCTTGTCTGGTGCCACATTTCAAGGGGAATGCTTCCAGTTTTTGCCCATTCTGTATGATATTGGCTGTTGGTTTGTTGTAAATAGCTTTTATTATTTTGAGATACGTTCTATCAGTACCTAGCTTATTGAGGGTTTTTAGCATAAAGGGCTGTTGAATTTTGTCAAAGGCCTTCTCTGCATCAATTGAGATAATCATGTGGTTTTTGTCTTTGGTTCTGTTTATGTGGTGAATTACGTGTATAGACTTGCGTATGTTGAACCAGCCTTGCATCCCCGGGATCAAGCCTACTTGATCATGGTGGATAAGCTTTTTGATGTGCTGTTGCAATCGGCTTGTCAGTATTTTATTGAATATTTTTGCGTCTATGTTCATCATGGATATTGGCCTGAAGTTTTCTTTTCTTGTTGAGTCTCTGTTGGGTTTTGGAATCAGGATGATGTTGATGTCATAAAATGATTTGGGAAGAATTCCCTCTTTTTGTATTGTTTGGAATAGTTTCAGAAGGAATGGTACCAGCTCCTCTTTGTATGTCTGGTAGAATTCGGCTGTGAACCCGTCTGGACCTGGGCTTTTTTTGGGTGGTAAGCTGTTAATTGCTGCCTCAGCTTCAGAACTTGTTATGGGTCTGTTCAGAGTTTCAGCTTCTTCCTGGTTTAGGCTTGGGAGGAGGCAAGTGTCCAGGAACTTATCCATTTCTTCCAGGTTTACTAATTTATGTGCATAGAGTTGTTTGTAATAATCTCTGATGATGGTTTGAATTTCGGTGGAATCTGTGGTGATATCCCCATTATTGTTTTTTATTGCATCAATTTGGTTATTCTCTCTTTTCTTTTTTATTAATCTGGCTAGTGGTCTGTCTATTTTGTTGACCTTTTCAAAAAACCAGCTACTGTGTTTATCGATTTTTTGAAGGGTTTTTTGTGTCTCTATCTCCTTCAGTTCTGCTCTGATCTTAGCTATTTCTTGTCTTCTGCTAGGTTTTGAGTTTTTTTTGATCTTGCTCCTCCGGCTCTTTCAGTTTTGACGATAGGGTGTCAATTTTTGATCTGTCCTTGCTTCTCGTGTGAGCACTTATTGCTATATATTTTCCTCTAGAGACTGCTTTAAATGTGTCCCAGAGATTCTGGTATGTTGTGTCTTCATTCTTGTTGGTTTCAAAGAACATCTTTATTTCTGCCTTCATTTCATTGTTTATTCAGTCAACATTCAAGAGTAAGTTGTTCAGCTTCCATGAAGCTGTGCGGTTCTGGGTTAGTTTTTGAATTCTGAGTTCTAACTTGATTGCACTGTGGTCTGAGAGACTGTTTGTTATGATTTCTGTTCTTTTGCATTTGCTGAAGAGTGATTTACTCCCAATTATGTGGTCAATTTTAGAGTAGGTGTGATGTGGTGCTGAGAAGAATGTATATTCTGTGGATTTAGGGTGGAGAGTTCTGTAAATGCCTATTAGGTTTGCTTGGTCCAGGTCTGAGTTCAAGTCCTGGATATCCTTGTTACTTTTCTGTCTGGTTGATCTGTCTAATATTGACAATGGGGTGTTAAAGTCTCCCACTATAATTGTGTGGGAGTCTAAGTCTCTTTGTAAGTCATTAAGAACTTGCCTTATGTATCTGGGTGCTCCTGTATTGGGTGCGTATATATTTAGGATCGTTAGCTCTTCTTGTTGCATTGATCCTTTTACCATTATGTAATGTCCTTCTTTGTCTCTTATGATCTTTGTTGCTTTAAAGTCTAATTTATCAGAGATGAAAATTGCAACTCCTGCTTTTTTTTCTCTCTATTTGCTTGGTAAATCTTCCTCCATCCCTTTATTTTGAGCCTTGTGTATCCTTGCATGTGAGACGGGTTTCCTGAATACAGCACACCAATGGGTTTTGGCTTTTTATCCAATTTGTCAGTGTGCTAGCTGGCTGTTTTGCCCTTAGTTGATGCAGGTTCTTCATTGCGTTGATTCCCTTTACCATTTGGCATGTTTTTGGAGTGGCTGGTACTGGTTGTTCCTTTATCTGTGTAGAGCCTGTTTCAGGAGCTCTTGTAAAGCAGGCCTGGTGGTGACAAAATCTCTGAGTACTTGCATGTTCACAGAGGATTTTATTTTTCCTTCACTTACAAAGCGTAGTTTGGCTGGATAGGAGATTCTGGGTTGAACGTTCTTTTCTTTAAGGATGTTGAATATCGGCCCCCACTCTCTTCTGGCTTATAGGGTTTCTGCTGAGAGGTCTGCTGTGAGTCTGATGGGCTTCCATTTGTGGGTAACCCGACCTTTCTCTCTGGCTGCCCTCAGTATTTTCTCCTTCATTTCAACCCTGGTGAATCTGACGATTATGTGCCTTGGGGTTGCTCTTCTTGACGAATATCTTTCTGGTGTTCTCTGTATTTCCTGAACTTGAATGTTTGCCTGCCTTGCTAGGTTGGGGAAGTTTTCCTGGATAATATCTTGAAGATTATTTTCCAGCTTGGATTCATTCTCTTCGTTGCACTCAGGTACACCTATCAAACGTAGATTAGGTCTTTTCACATAGTCCCACATTTCTTGGAGACTGTGTTCATTCCTTTTTACCCTTTTTTCTCCATTCTTGCCTTCCCATTTTATTTCATTGAGTTGATCTTCGACCTCTGATATCCTTTCTTCTGCTTGGTCCATTCGGCTGTTGATACTTGTGCATGCTTT